TCCCATATCGATTAAAAAACTAAAGGGGAATAGTTTATATACGGGAATTGAATTAACGTTAAATGAGCTGCGAGGCACTTACATGGGTTTTGTGATGGGCTTGGGTCCATGGCGGACCTCGTGGGTGCTAGAAGAGACTAGGGGTGGTGGGCGGGTTTTTTTATTCTGGGCTTGCCTTTTGGGTTTAGGGTTTATGGAGTCGGGAGAAATGTTAAACAAACTTCTGAAGTAAAAAATTGTAAGAAAAACATTTTAATGAAAATAACAGACAAGTAAAAGGGTTTAAATGTCAAATAACATAAACCTTGTATGTCCTTTCCAAGTTACCTTAAGTTCAGGCTTGGATCCCAAATATTAACCTGAACAAGATACAAACCAAAATCGTAACACATTTGAACTCAACAAAAATGAGCAATGATAAATATTTTGCACCAAAAAATGAAACAATATTTCATAGAAGACAGAAGAAACACATGCATTATTCCTTACACATGTGACACTAGTAATTTATCAAATACAATTTCAGATAACATAAACACCTCTGTCCTAGATATATCATTTGTCATAACCACACTTTACATGCGATTATGGGTATGAAGATGATGGAATTAACAAAGAGTAACTAAGTTCCATAGAAGGTTCAAGAATTCGAATTCTCTAGTGATGTAGTGACATTTTGTTTAGCTGAAAAACCAACCAATGAAGTCTTAGGAGAAAAATCAAAGTATCATATGACTGCACAGAAACAATTAAAGAGTGCGATGAACAATGGAAACACTCTGCCAAGTAAAATAGTCTAAAAGGGTTGAGTTCATATCATATTTTGTCTCACAAGTTTTGGTATATTTGTGTGATCCAAAAGATCTCTAAAGAGTTGGGAAAGTACCGGGTCAACGCTCGTGACTACTATTATGGGACCAAGATCCCTTAAATAATATAATCTAATGGAAAATTAGGTGGAACTTTGTTGCCTTCTGGTCAGGTACCAGATATGCATGTGGCTCGGGTTAAAGAACCAATTATATATATTACTATTTATTTTCAAGAATTATAGTTTTCATTCTCGATAAAATTATCTCTAAAGTTCAAACATGAATTATTTTCTTTAAAATGCAGTACACATTGTCATCAAGACCACATTTGGTGGTCCAACTCTTCTTAATTTGCAAAGCCAAAGGTTATCAAAATTTTCATGATTATTGTATTTAATGGTGAAAGATCATCATGGAAAAAAATTTCAAATGTGATAAATTTCTTGTATCTGACGTTATGAACCAAACATTTGACCATTTAAACGCTTACAAAAACAAAAGGAAAAGTGGGTAAACTTCTGTGTCCTTTCTTTTGATCCAATCATAGAATAAGTAGTCGTCTTTGAAACAATATTATTCTAACCAATGCTTAGTTTCAGGGAAGCTGACATAGGTTTTTGTCTGCACAACGCAAGGAACAAATGAGAGCTGTAGATGAGAAATAATCTCTGAGCCTTGGCCGCCGTGCTTACTTGAAGAAAATGTTGAAGTTGTAAAGGAGGACAAGAAAGCAAATATAATAGCTGCAACGGTAATCATCGGCCTCATCATTTTCATCATCGTTGATCGAGTATCATTGAAACTTTGCAGGGCCTTCTTCCTCATTGCAGGGGCAGATATTGCAGTAATTCTTGCAGTATTTGCGTGTCTTGTGATTAGAGGGCGGTATCATCGCAGAAGAAAACTGTTAGAGAAGAAGCTGGTATCTGAAGGTCGATAGCTTCGAATAGAGTACAGTTTTCTTAGAAAGGTAGCTGGAGTTCCAATAAAGTTTAAGCACAAGGAGCTCGAGCGTGCAACAGATAATTTTTGGGCACTTCTAGGCAAAGGTTCATCTGCATCAGTATTCAAAGGTATCCTTGGTGATGTCACTTCAGTTGCCATGAAGAGAATAGATGGGGAGGAGTATGGGGAAAAGGAGTTTAGATCTGAAGTTGCAGCAATTACATGTGAATCTTTTACGTCTTATGGGTTATTGTTGTCTTTCTGGAGGGCCAAGGTTCCTTGTTTATGAGTTCATCCCTAATGGTTCATTGGACCATTGGATATTCCCTAGAAGGGAAAAGGAAACTATAAATTACCCTGGAGGCTGCTTGGCATGGGATTTAAGGTACAGAGTTGCTATTGATGTGGCTAAGGCACTGTCGTACCTACATCATGATTGTCGATCAAGACACCCTGATGTCAAGCAAGAAAATATACTTGATGAGAATTATAGAGCAATTGTGGCAGATTTTGGTGTTTCAAAGTTGATGGGAAAACATGAGAGTAGGGTTATTACAACAATCAGGGGGAGTAGAGGTTATATAGCATTTAGCCCCAGAATGGCTCTTGGAGCATGGAGTTTCAGAGAAATCTGATATCTACATCTATGGAATGGTTCTTTTGGAGATGATTGGAAGCGAAAGAAATGTTAGTCTGATAGAAAATGGTACAGATAGGTCTCAAAGGAAATGGCACTTCTTTCCTAAAATTGTGAGCAAAAAACTAAGAGAAGGAAAACTAATAGAAGCTGTTGATCGGAGGTTAGTTGAAGCTGGAGGCATTGACGACAGGCAGCTGCAAAGACTGGTATATGCAGGTTTGTGGTGCATACAAGAGTGGGCGAAACTAAGGCCGAGCATGGCACAAGTGGTTGAGATGCTTGAAGGGCGTGTTGTGGTAGAAGAATCTCCTGACTCACAAATGGTTGTTGTTAATTTGTTATCCATAGATGAAGAGGATTGTGATTATCACCACAGGCCTAGTTTATCACCACTAACCGTTGACATGGAATTCGGTCGCTGTACATGTGGCATATATGTATATATTTCTTTTCTTAATTGAAACCCAGAAAAATAACTAAATCTCTTAATGCCAATAAGACATATTTCAATATGACATCCTAAAATCATTTCAGTTAACATAAATTAAAATAAAATTATAATAAAAAACTTAAACTATTGGAACCTCCAAATGCATTATTTGGCTTAGAAAGTTCGTAAACATAGATAGAGATGGAATGCTATTTTTTATTTATTATGTAGAAATATATTATATTTTAAGTTAAATGTTAATATTTAAATTCATATAATAAAAAAATATCTTTAATCATTAGATTAATTAATGAGCATCCTTAATCGCTTGGGCAACTCTAAAATTTGCTAGTTTTCAGATCGTCTGTGTATTGGATATGAGATAAACTCACGGTGTTCTCTCTGCGATCAATGAAACATCCTGAGAACAGGCCACCTAGGTTGACTTTGGAAAACAGATATGGGCGCAAAGGAAATGCACCGATAAATCCATTTAAGCTTTAATTCCATAAGCATATTTACATGTAATTTAAATTTGTAATCTTTAATGGTATGCATGTTTGTATTACAGATTGTGGATGAGATTGAATTGGCACTGAGCCAAGCTTCCATGCCAAACTAGACGATGATCATTGCAGTAGTGTTAATGAAGAAGGAACGATGCTGGATCTTTGCTTTTGGTTAGGAGAAGACACTGCTCCACCATCTGCTTCTTTTTGCGGTGAATCAAACGGATTATCAACGCAGTTAATTTCAGCGGTTGTACTGTTACAGATTGGTGATGGAGGGTGTTGATTTTGGCGGGGACAAGGTTTACATGTCAGAGGACTTCATTAAGATGATGTGGATAAGAAGTCAATTTCTTGTGGACGTCCTCCAACGCGGCTATAACTTCATATTTAAGTGTTGACATCACCTTTTTTTTAAAATAATATCTTAGTATATTATTTATTGGTCAGGATAAAGATACGATGTGGTTAAAGAATCTATTTAGAAGATTGAGCCCACTCGAATCCGGGGATCTATAAATTAGTGTCGACACATTCAGTGATCCCAGACCAAAACATAATCGTATCAGCACATGTTTCTATTAACAACAAGACCATCTCATTGTTCAACACAAGGTATTCCATCCAACAAGGATAATTCCACATAAATGAAAGAGCAAGATGTTCTGGACTATCTGGTAATATTGATCAATTTTCATTTTCACCCTATCTGGTATCTAATAACTTACCGCGTCACTAATAATTAAAAAAAACGTTACTAATCATAAAACCCTAAATTCAATTAACAAGTAAAAAAATCAAAACATATCCCACGTAAAGAGAAAACCATAGAGTCAACCATATAATAATATAAACAACATTTATATTGGGCGTCACATAGGCCTCCTTATCTAGTTATTTCTTTATTTTCCTCTACTCTATGAAACTATCATAGCTATTAGCTTAGACCTTTTAATGCATTGTTAGAAGTGGGTTTCCGATAGATGATTGATGGACCTTTAGACTATTAATTTGTTTATAATTAAATCTTTTTAATAGTTATTTATTTTTATATTAATAAATTGACTTTGATGGTTAATAGGGTATATGTTAAAGATTTTAGGTTCGAGTATCAACAACTGTAAGATATTTAAACATTCAAATAATTACGTTTAGAAAAATTCTACAATACTCAACGAGCACGAGGCACCATTAATTTAATTTTTAATTTGTAAATAAAAAGTAATATTTAAATGTATTCAAATCTATAACCCTTTAAATGTTGTAATAAATTAATAATTAGATTCACATCTTTAATTAATTTTATTTTCATTTATAACTTAAAAAAATCTATTTACAATTCTGATTTTAAAAACCAAATGTTTACAAGTTTATTAAATAGTTTATTAGAAAGTTTATACAAAATAAAATATTTTATAATAAAATTATAAATATTTACAAGTTAACGCATCAAGATGAGAAATTTTCTGACATACGAAAATGAAAAGAGAAATATATATTTAGTAAGAGAAGTGAAGAGTACCTATGGTGTACTTGTTAAGTTAATGGTTGAAGTAGGATAGTTAAATTCCCCGATAAAACTCTGCCCAACCCTACTTTCTCAATACCATTGAAAAAATAATAGTAATAAAAAGGCCAACTCTTGTGTTGTCAATTCCTATGCCATGGATCATTCAAAGTATTATTGTCCCGCGGGAACGGCATTTCTCATCCTCGCTGCAGCTCTCTATATTTGTGTATGGTCTCCTTCAACATCAAACCCTTTCCTTGATAATTATAACCAGCAAAACAACTGTCATTGCTCCAATGTCGTAAGTCTGACCTTCATTTGAATTTGTAATCTTTAATAGCATGCTGTTGAAATCCTTTCTTTTTTTTACAGACTACTAGTGTAAAGGATGAGCTTGAATTGGCGCTGAGCAAAGCTTCCATGCCAAACAAGACGGTAATAATTGCAGTCGTGAACAAAGCATATGTTGAAAAAACGGTTGTTGAAAAGGCAACGATGCTGGATCTTTTCTTGGAGAGCTTTTGGCTAGGAGAAGATACTAGGCCACTGCTCCAGCATCTCTTACTTGTTGCCGTCGATCAAACGGCTTATCTACGCTGTCAATTTCAGCGCTTGCACTGTTATCGCTTGGTGACCGAAGGTGTTGATTTTGAAGGAGAGAAGGTTTTCATGTCAGACGACTTCGTTAAGATGATGTGGAGAAGAACTCTTCTTCTGTTGGATGTCCTCAACCGTGGCTATAACTTCATCTTTACGGTACATGATTATATATCTCCATTTGTGCTAAGCGTGATAATCAGTTATAGAAATGAAATCTTAATCATTGCTACATATAAATGTTTATATTTTATCAGGACATGGATGTAATGTGGCTGCGAAATCCATTTATGAAACTGAGTCCAACCGAATCAGTTGATATGCAAATTAGCGTTGATACATTCAATAACGATCCTCGACCGGAACATAATTTTGTCAATACGGGTTTCTATTACATAAGATCAAACAACAAGACCATCTCATTGTTGGATACATGGTATTCCCAGAAGGATCATTCTGCAGGGAGAAAAGAGCAAGATGTGTTGCAAGACCTAATGCACGGGGGACTCTTTCAACGATTGAATCTCACAGTAAAGTTTCTGGAAACGACGCACTTCAGCGGCTTTTGCCAAGATAGTCAGGATATCACCGCTGTAACCACCGTGCACGCCAACTGTTGCCGCCTCATAAAGGCAAAGTTTACAGATTTAGCGGCAGTCCTCCGTGATTGGAAGCAGTTCAAAACGGTTGTCAAAGAACATACCGAGGTCGCTGGTAAGATTATTGGGGATTTTAAATGGGCACCGCATACTGAATGTTGGAATTCATGGAAATAGAGATAATAGCACCAACATGAATAAGCTTGCCAGAATTAGATTTGTTGGATGACACTAGTTCCAAGAAAAATAAGTGTGCGTTTTTGCTGAATTTTAATGTTGAAATATTTTTATTTTTTTAAATAATTATTACAAGATAATATATGTTCATAATCTTTTAAATTATTAGCAATGTAGACATATTGTGTAGATACAACGCACACGTACCATGCAAACACAAATGTTCAAACCTTGAATCTGCATGAAAAATAATACTCTCTTTAACCACTAACGTCGTTAATCATAATTTTTTTAATATAATCAAACTTAGATACTCTAAGAAAAAAAATATTTAATTTTATTGCTAACGCTGGTCAATGGGTTCCAACATCATGACTTTTAAATTAAATATAAGAGATAATATTTAATTTTAATATGTACTCGGGTTGTTGTGCCACCGGAATTATCGGGTCTTCTTGTGCGAGAAGCACCTTGGCTGAGCTCCTCTCATTGTCATGTATTGTCCAATTCCAAACTTATGGTGGAATCAGTCTTGTCTTATGTAGACACCAATTTTTTTAAAATATAAAACTAACAAGAGTTCATCTCCTAAAAGGACTTTTCTACTACCATATCTTTTAAAGCAACAACCACATCAACAAACGTGCAACAACCGAGCAAGGAGTCTAGTTGTATTAGGATTCTATTGTTAGTTAGTTTTTTTCACTATAAATACATATAATCCTCCCCATTTGTAAGACACGATATACGAAATAAACAGCAGAAATTACTAGCAAATCAGAGCAAAAAACGTGATTCTCGAAAAGAAAAATAAGTAGAAAAGGTAAAACCTTGTACCTTTATCGCTTTAAGTCTTTGCATGTGTGTTTCTCCATTATTTTTGCTCGAGTCAAACCCAAATAAAATCATTTTTGGCCAATGAACGAGAAGGTTTTTTAAAGATCTATCTTGTAGATCTAGTAATCCCGAGGCCCGATCTTAGAAAATTATTTGAATTTTCGAAAAATAGAGAAGAAAAACTTAAAGTTAAAATATTCATTTCGCCCCCTAATGTGCAATATCAACGTTAATTATCTTTCAAATTTGGTCCCAATTTTATCTTTTCTTTTATAATAGTCCTTTGTTGTTACATGCATATTTTTTTATTATTCTTATTATATATATATATATATATATATATATTAATTATCTTCATTTGGATATTTTTTTTATATATTTTTTAATTTTTTATATTCTATCGTTATTTATATATATATTTTTTAATTCTTTGTCATATATCATTATTATTTATATATATTTTTATTACTATAATTATATGTTATATATATTTATTATTTTATATATTTCATTTTATCTTTTATTTTTTTATCTTCTATTTTTATTTTTGTATTGTTATTGTTATTATCTTCTTTATTTTATGTATTTTATTTTTATATATATTTTTTATATTTGTTTTTGTTCCTCTTTATTTTATTTTATTTATCTTGCTTACATCTTCTTTATCTGTTTTATTTTTTCTACTTTATTGCATTTATTTTTATTTCACTTTCTTTATTTTATTCATTTTTACTACATTTTTATCTAACATGTTTCTTGACTTCCTAAAGGGTACACTTTTAAAACAATCAAGGGTAAGCAATTTTGGATCGATATTTTTACCTTTTAATTTAAAATTATAATTTTCTTAATTTAAGACAATTTGAAATTGCGTAGTATCGAAAGGGCAGTTCAACGGTGCTAACCCTTCCTTGACTGTAACCAACTCCCGAATCGGACATATCACTGGTAAGACGCAGATCAGGTAAGAAATAAGGTATCCAGTTGACCTATTTATTTTTAAATAAATGATCAGTGGCGACTCCAAATCATTTTTCATAAGTCGAAGCCCAATTCTGAGGCCCAATCGAAAGACGGTTACGACAGCTTGGAGACTCAACTGGGGACAGGTAAGTGAGTCAGGCTAAGGTAATTTCCAGTTGTCTTTTTAACGAAAAGGGTAAGTTTAAATTTTAAGGTAACATTTCGATCTTTTTTTACTTACTTTTGATTATATTTTCAGGTAAATAGTTGTACTAATCGTTTTCTCATGATTTCAGCCTTCAAATCTTTTTCATTTAAGGCTCTATACATGAGCTCCAAACCCTGTCTTAAGTGAAGGTAAAAGCGACGCTTTCGTATGAATTTATTCACCGTGCGGGCCTAGCAAGTAGCCTTCGGGATTCATATACCTTATGTCTTCGTGTGAATTTATTCACCGTGAGAGCATAAGGGAATATGTCCTCTCGAGTTTAACTTAGTCCACACAAGCATGTGATAGGTTTAAGACTAAGGGTCTGACAAGCCCAATGGGACACCGGCAAGGAGAACTCGGGTACCGTTTTTAGAACCTAAACCGGGAAACCATGGAGAATTAGAGCCTACCCCAAAACCATATTCCAAAACCTAGGATATTTTTCCGAAGACTTTGGGCTGCATCGACGCAGCCGTGGTAGAGCTATTCGAACAACTTCCAAGGCGAGTCAACCCAGCACCGGCCATCTTAGCTGAAACCTTTCGATCTCTCAACCATTGCAGAAGAACTGGCGGAGGAAGGTTCGTTGGGTGTATTCAGCTCCTTCAAGTCTGGATTTACAGCCACTTTTGGAAGACTAATGGGGTAGCCTATCGCCGATTCAGCACTACCTATTCACCTTTGGGAGAATTCATCACTAGGAAATGGCATGAAGATGCTTCAAAGGAAAAGTGGATGAAAGTTTTTACACATCTTCAGGATCGGGATATTACCTGGAGAGCCCCCTGGTTGTTCCTCGGTGACGTTCTTTTCCGGTGTGTGGATTCTGATACTATGAAATTACTTGGACTTTAGGGTGCAGTTGGGTATGCTCTGTTGTTAGAAGTTAGACAGTATGGGGCACGTCAGTCCCAGTAACATGCGGGCTAGCTAGATCAGAGTTTGTGTATAATGGTGACAGTTATAAGAAGATGATCAAGGAAGCAGATGGTTCGTGGAAGAAAGTATGTTGGATGGATGTTGTGGCTGTCAGAGACATGCTTACTCCGGATTATATGGAGTGGCGAAGACTGAGAAAGAATGATAACATTCCCAGTGCCAGAATGTGAAGACACCCGGACCATAGAAGAGCATCTCAGACATGTCCCTTCTGAACTTGAGATAGCTAAGGCGGAGTTTAAAGCTGTGAATAACGAGCTGAAACAGAATGTTAAAGAACTGGAAGTTGAACGTTATCAATGGAAGCTATATGCCGAATCTCAGAAAGATAGAGCAGACAAGCATGAAAGAGAACAGAAAAGATTCCGTTTTGAACTCGAGGATTTGAGAAAAGGGTATCAAGATAAATTCAAGGATAATTCCAAGTTGAAAGTAACCTCTGAATACTGGAAAAATGAAGTTTATAACTTAAAAAGAAAGTTCGAGGGGTCTGATGAAAGAGCTTGGAAAGAACAGTTGAAAACGGTTCAGAGGAGCTTAGCAGACAGTCAACATCAAAATCAATGCTTGAGAATCCAAATGTCTGACCTAGAAAAACAACATGAGAGAGATGGAAAAACAACATCTGAGTTAGAAGTTATTGTGGATGGATTCAAGAAGCAAGCAGCTGAGCTTCAGATAGTACCCTTCGACGGAGGTCTGCAGTGGCAGTGGCATTTCCGTTGGAAGCAAGCACAACAAAGGGTGAAAGCTAGAGACGCATTCATCTGAGATTTCCTGGATCAAGTGCAAAAAGCAGCCCGTCATCTTCACGGCCTGGCAAGAGAAGCTGGAGTGGTTCGACAAGGCATTCAACCAATGACAGATGAAGGCAAAAGACTTGTCAACCTACTAGAAGCTGTTCGGGGTCTAGAAAATTTAGTCTGAACGTACCTTTGATTGTTTTTTATGTCTCTTACAAGATAAAGCATTTCTGTCTAAATAAGGATTATTTATAATAATAGACACTTTTCTGGATCAATGCCTCTAAATTGCATACATTGTGCATTGCATACTTTGCATTTTATATTTCATGTTTATTTTTATATTTTCCATGTTTTTACATTCATATTAACTAACAGAACATGTCTCAGAAAGGGAAAGAGCAAACACCAAATTTACCACCGCAAGCATTAAATACGCATCATCCACATAATACTCGAGCAAAGAAGAGACAAATGGAGGCTAGAATGGAAAAACTCAAGGATAACATGGCAAGACTGCAAAAAGAACTAGAAGATAAGATGGCTCAAAACAATCAGAGCACCTTGGAGTCCATCAAGAAAAACCAGGAGTCATTGGTCGACCAAATTGTAGCCAAGTTATCGGGATTACAACAAGCTAGTGCAGTAGGGGGAAGTCCCTCTGAAGGGGTAACCATATCACCAACCCCACAAGTGGTTATTTTACCCGGGATCTTACCCAAACCACAAGAAAACTCCTCTGCTATCAAAGGAAAAGCATCATCTGTTGTAAAGGTGCAAACTTCCATAACTAATCCTGATAATCATCCGAATGATTATAATATCCCAGATTTTAATGAAGATGACAAAGCAAGAAAGATGGAAGAAAAGATTAGGATGTTAGAAGATCGAATGAAGATGGTCCAAGGGGACCATGATTATTATGGAGTAGACGCAAGAGAGCTGAGCCTAGTTCCAGATTTGATGCTTCCGCCAAAGTTTAAAGTTCCTGAGTTTGAGAAGTTTGATGGGAACAGCTGCCCATCAGCCCATATCACTATGTTCTGTCGGAAGATGGCAGGATATGGAACGAATGACCAACTCCTAATCCACTGCTTTCAAGAGAGTCTGTCCGGTTCAACTATCCGGTGGTACAACCAACTCAGCCGAGCTCACATCAAGACATGGAAAGACTTAGCCAAGTCTTTCCTGGAACAATATAAGCATATCAATAATATGAGACCAGACCGGGTTATGCTACAAAGCCTGGAAAAGAAGCACAACGAGAGTTTCCGACAATACGCGCAGCAATGGAGGGATTTTTCTGTACAGGTTCATCCACCCTTGGATGAAAA